TAAAGATCAGTAGAAACAGGTATGTGAGGAGAAAAGTGGAATTGTTCTCATTAAAAAAAAAGAGGAAGGGGAGTGGTATTAGTTCTATATGCTTATCAGATTCTTCTTATGGAAAAGGGAATCAATCAGGCCACTAAAATAAGCGAAACGATTTGTGCCGACTGTATTAACTATATAAGGAACATCAGAATACTTTTTTTTAGCCTTGATGTTTGGTGAATAATTTCAGGGAAACAAGGAAGTATTTGACAGATTCCCCAGCCAGGTGACATCACGATATCATTTAAATTAAGCAGAAAATATTAGTTTTATGGAAACATTTTAAAAATACTGCTTTTTAAACTTTTCCTGTTCTGAAATATATTAAACAGTTTATCACCAATGAATGTTTTTCTTAGTTCAAGTGCATGATTCATCATACTTCAAAGACAGCCTCATATATTTTAATTCTCTACGTGGAAAGGAAATGAGCTAAATCAGTTAGCATGGATAACTTTTTTGCACATGGATTCTAATGGTTCCTACTTTATCTGTTGGCAAAAAAACCCAATAATGATCAAAAATATATTAATACTCTGTAGTCACTATTCATATAGTCACCTGTGCTCTTTCAAAAGTGTAAAATGCTAACTTGAACAGTTTTAGATTGACTTGTCGTGTGCTCTCATAAATATTGGTCAGCATTTTTGTTACATTTCTTCCAATTAAAGACTCAGGTTTGGGGGTTTTGTTTTGTTTTTAAGACTGCTGCATGTTCAGACAACAAATGCAGCAGTAATATGTTCAGCAGTTAAAGAAAATAAAATTGTGTTTAGGAAGGCTTTTTCCAGTTCTGCTTTTTATTTTTATCAAGCTGTGAGATTTATTTGTCTCTGAGCCAGTTTTGAAGCTCTATAAAGTAACAGATCACAGGAAGATAAGCTTCCTCTTTAGTAAATCACTCAGGCAATGTATCTTGGTGCTGGCCTGTTACTTCACTTTGATTTATAATGCGTATTCACTAGTCAGTACAAATCTTACTTTGTTGGGCAGTTAAGGCATCGTCCTTTTGCCTTGATAACAGTGGGCAAAATGCCCATTTCAATTAGAACAGAATTGGACACTTAAATAAGTAACAGAGTAATTCATCAAGTGTCCAATTCTGATGAAAATTATGAATAAGCTTAGAAGTAATCATAGAGGTATTAAATTAATTCTTTATCAGATGTCCTATTTTCTATTTGAGCTGCCTGTTAAATTTCATATAGTGTGAATATTAAAGGTGAAGGTAGTGGTCTTCATATGCCACAAAAAGCAAAGTCTAATGGTTTGAGTTTTCCAGCCTTAAGCGTGGAACACCTGATTTCTTCTATTGCACTTTGTGTCCTGGAAGGAAAATCATGTATTTTTTCTGGTTCTCCATAGATATTTCAAAACAAATCTGTAAAACTCTCAATTTATTTTAGAAAATGTGATCTGTTGATTTGTAAGATAAGGCACTTTCAGTGCTTTGAAAAGGTAAATATAACAGAATAAGTATGGATGACTAGTTAAAATTTTGTTTCTTTTTTGAGCAGTCAAGATGTTTGTAAAAGTGACTGCTGTGTAGAAGGTTTTAAGAGATTAAACTATGGTATGGTAATCATTTTCTGATAGGCATAACCAGTCTGATCACCTTGCCTTCAAAACTGAATGTGTAAGCAGAATTCATTTATCTGGAAGAACTTCCTGTGTTTCAGGAGTCTGTAGCAAGATTTTCTAGCTGGGAAAACACGTACAAGAAACAAGTTGGAATGAAATAGAACATAGAAACAAGTTGGCATAATGGACAAATGTGTGACCAAAGTAGACTCTTGCAATGTGATCTCATTCTGAAATGGTTTAGCTTTAATTCAGCAGCTGTTGAGCAGATCAGGTACTGTATACTGTACTGTACTGTATACTGTATACAGATCAGGTACTACTGTACCTTTTATACCTGTAGGTGTTTGTTGCAACATCTGATGAGGTGATGTTGTGCACAGTAAAAGTGCTGAGATCTGACAGAAAGCTCACAGTCCTCCAATGGCTGGAGCATTGGTTAGGTCTACATTTATTTGAACAAGAGCCCAGAATAAAACCAAAGACACCTCAAGTGATACAAAGCAGCTGTACCAGAAGTCTGGCCCAGCAAAGTCTAAGCACTGTAAACATTAAAACTGCTGATTTCACAGAACTGTTAGTACTAACTGATTTAGCTACTGCGTTGTAGAACTGATTGCAAGTTACTTCATTTAAAAAAAAAAAAAATTGACAGTGGTAGGCATTTATTGTCCCTTTATACAACCTTTCTATTCCACAGTGCTAATTAATTAATTACAGTTATCAGCATATCTGTCAAATAAGCAGATAGACATGAAAAAAAAAAAGTGGGGGTTTTGGCAGTTGTTTAACACTTCATTAAAAATATTCTCTCTCTCAAGTAATAGAGATATTCTGATGCTAACTGTTGTATTGCTAATTATTATTCATGATTAAATATACAGTACTGCTTAACTTCTATTCTTTCTTGCTTCATATTGCAAGGTTCGGTATAGTAATACCATGAAATAGGTGAAGCCAAACTAATTGCATCTCACACACACAAAAAAAACATTCCGTGTTCCTCTCCGTTCCTCACTGTTTCCTGAAATCACAGAATCCTTGCTAAGCGCTCCTACAGCTGTCTTCCACCAAAACAAGTGCAAATGGGGGGACAGGGACAAGACAAGGAAAATGAGGTTCTTAAGAATAATTTGTGTAGTTATATGTGATATCACAGGATTCTGATTTATAGCAGGATAGCAGTTGTGTTTTTAATTAGATTCCTGCTTATTCATTCCTCCTATTAAGAATAAATCTTAAGAAGCAAATGAGTATTCATCCAAAAATATACAGAAGTATATATGCACGCGCTCACAAATCTTTCTGCATTTTTTTCTACGAAGATAGAGCACTTAAAATGTGCAAGCAAGCTTAACAGTTGCACATATTTCTAAGATTGTATTACAAACCCCATTGTAAAATTCCATAGTAATTTTACTGTGATGATACTGATCCAAAAATTTCCCTTTTGCTGTTCTGCCACAGCTTAAATTTTAAGGATAGGTTTTGCCAAACAGTTAAAAGCATGAGGCAGGGAATCTCCGGGTGATCTTTTCTTTGGAAAGTTTGAAGCATGAATTTGATGTTTGACTTAAGGTGACTTTTGTGTCATGTTTGAGGGTTTGTGGGCTTTTTGGGTCACCCTTTATTTAAAAAAAAAAATTAAACTTCCCAAATTTGGTCAGTTACAAGCTTTATGAAATTGTCATTTGCATGAACTCAGGAGATAGATAATTTCTAGTAGTTAATCTTTCAAGACTCCATTCAAAATGTTTTAGCCTACAGAAGATGATTGGAAGCTTTGTGCTGCTGCAAGTCATGCTGGATTTTGAGCAGAACTGAGCATGCAGGGCCTGTCCCTGTGAGCTCTTCATTACCTCTGTCCCTAGGCAGCTTGGAAACAAATTTTGCCTAAACTTAATACATGAGGGAGGAAAAACTGATCTGTAGGAAAATATTTTGGGATAAGAAACCTGAAGAGAGGGAAACCAGGACTGGTAATTGAGATGGGAGTTGACTGCAACCTCCTGAATTCATAATTTATTTTATATATTTTCATGTATAAATAGAAAAGCAGCTTATCTTTTCATCAGTGTCAAAGACTCCTCCAGAGAATATGAGGGAAGATGAAAGTATCTAAAGTGATTGGGAAATTTTTGTCACTTGAAGAATCTCAGACTTAGTGAATGATTGTAATTTTGAGCATGTATCCAACTGTATAATTCCCTACTCTGGAGGACAACAATATTTTGGATAAACTAAAACAAAAGGAGATAGTTATAATGTCCTTTTGATCATTTAATGATGGAAAAGGAAGTAAACATTTTCCAATCAAACCTTTCGAAGGACCTTTTAAAGTGGAATCAGTGGGACCTGGTCCTGTGCATCACAGTTGAACATAGATAGTTTTCGAGTTTTGTTAAACAGGGCATTTGGTATATCGGCAGATAGCTATATTGCTACAATAAAACATACGACCTATGAAAGCAAGAATTCACATTTTAGTACCTTTTTAAAGTTCAAATTATCATCTGGAATTACTTTTAGTAATGACATTTAATCTGCGTTGTTACATAATTAATGTTGAAATAAATTGAACTAATTTGAACTGCTAGTAACTAATGGTTATTTGCTGTACTATGGCATACCTAGGAAGCAGCAGAACCAGAAAGTTGGATCTTCATGTTTGCCTGTGAAAAGACTAATTAGAGAAAAAAATTCTGACACTTCTATTCATGCGGTGGACTAACCTGGGTTACTTAATACTAGATGAAAAAGCTAGAGGAGGAGCGGTCCTGTGTCGAAGCGATGAATTGGAGTTACAGAACTCAGAATTCAATTTCTGGCGTAGTTCTGCATGACTCAGTACTCAGGGGTATCTCAATTGCCAGTTACAAAATTAGTGTGGTAACAGTGTTTTCCTTTTACAAGTCTGATATGTGTGTGGTTCTGTGATGTGGTTCTGTGGGTCACAAGTGAGGACTTGCGTGTCTGACTACTGTAGAGGAGGAGTGTCCATGCATGAGCAGAGGAACCAGTAGGGCCATAATCACAAAAAGGCAAATGCAGGTAAATAGAATGTACCCACTTCTCAACTGGGCGGTATAGCTTGCTTTCATTCTAGCATGTACCGAACAAGTGAATTCACCCACTTCTTAAATTTTTCTGGGCACTAGAAAATAACTGTATTTCAGGAACAATTAATAGCTGGCTTCTGAACTTTAATAGCATGTACCTCTGTAAAAGTTAGAGGAAAATCACTTAATCTAAAGGGGTCTCAGATCTCTTTGGGATACTGAGGTACTTACTACATGAGTATTTGCTTATGGTGTGTTACTTTGATGTTACACTGATATGTGAAAAAAATAATTTCTTTCTTTTTTTTTCTCTCCAACTAGGAATTGCTGATATTTTTACAGAATTTGCCCACAATACACTGGGGAAACGAAGAAGTTAGTGTACTCCTGGCAGAGGCCTACAGACTAAAGTTTGCATTTGCGGATGCCCCCAATCATTACAAGAAATGAATATAAAGAACCCAAAACTGTTAAGACTAACATATTCTGCAGTATTATGGCATTCAGTTGTTCTGCTTGTGCTTTTGATTCATTCTTCTTTCATTTGAATTAAGATGACCATTAAAATTCTGTTAAAATTTACAAAATGAGAACAGGATACCAAAGAAATGGACACAGCAGGATATTGAACGCTGAATGAACTTAGAAGTGAACTTTCTTGCTCAGTGTAAAAAATGAGTTCAGATGTCTACTACATAATTTCTTCTTTTTTCCCCCTTCTGTAATTAAGAGAATTACAGTCTGTAATTTCTGTCTAGCTGTTGTTATATGTACTTGAGACTTAAAATTTCTTACAGAATGATTATATGATTATTTTAGTGTCATCTGTAATAACTTTATCAGCCAGTATTGGCTAGTGGTAAGAATTATTTATTTTGAGTGGAAAAAAGGAATTTCTCAGGCATGAAGACCATTTGAGACAGCAAGGCCTGTGTTTTGGGATCTGATTATGTCTCAGAAGACGTATTCTCATGCCATCTTTTCTTTTTTTATGGAATGAAGTTAGATTACTTCTATAGTATATGAAAATAGAAGGTTGCAATGGGAATTGGTGACCAAATTGGAACATTTTCTAAACATTACTAAGTCTGGTAGGATGCCTCAGAAGCTCTGTTGCCGTACAAAGGAGTTACTTAAAGCTTAAGATTCATCTCTAATTCTAAAATAAATCCTTTGGTATATATTTTGGAGATTTTTTTTTATATTGAATGAAATAAAAAATGGGATCCTGTTAAAATAAACTTTTTCTTAATGGCTTTCCAATTTTTCAGCATGAAAGTTCACTTTTAAGAGATTTATATTAAGAAGCTTGGTTTATAAAGCAGGATGCATTTTGATCTCAGTTGTTGCCTTATTCTCCATTTCTAGCATTTTAGAAAAGGAGAATTAATACATCTGTCCTAAGCTTATTTGTTTAATAATTTGTTTAATAGCTTTTTCTCATATTATTCAGAGGAAATAAGAAGATAGTTCCTCATAACAATATCCGTAACTATATAGTCAGATCGCTTGTGTCATTAGCAGAATAAAAATCCTCTATGACTTTACAGAGTGAAATTAGTGTTTCTTCAATAATCATGGGATTCTGAATAATTTCTTAAAACTTACATAATTTAAGTGCACTATTTATTTTCAGGAAATCTTTTCAGATATGTATTCTGATGTTGCTCTATTGGATGTAAATAAACTCATGTTAATTTGTGCCTACCCTATATATAGGTTATTAAGGGTGAGAGTTGCAATAGGCAATATACTGGGAGCTCAGAACTGTTATTCTTCAGTTCAATTCTGGAGTTGCACAATGTTGCACCAGAAGTGTAGTGTACTTTTAAGTTTGGGAAATAAAAGATCTTCAAGAGGTTTTCTCTTATGATATGTTATTGGAAGATTATTTTCAAGTTCTTAAAAAATATGTATCTACATATTTTTTTTAAAAAGCTTTCTAGATATATTAGTTATATTACTTGTATTAGGGGCCTAAGTTCTTGACACCCAATTTTTAATAAGTTACTTAGGTGTTTCAGGGTAAATAGAATACATTTTTACCAACATGTGATTATAGGAGATCTGTATTTTAAAATGATGTCAAATCATTAGCAGACTGGAAAATACTAACTTAATTCAGAAGCAGGAAGGGTTTGGTGACTAGGATGTGTTTCTGTTACGCTGATGTCAGCTGGAGTCGTTAGTTCCAGTGTATAAAAGTTCAGGCCTCCTAGATTATTGCATTTGTGCCTACAGTGCGTAGTGGCTCTGTGTTTCTTAAATGTCAGTATGCTCTTTTCTGTAACTTCAATTTACGGTCTAATGTATCAAGATTTATCTTTATGTTTACAAAGAATGTCATATTGTGCCTAACAGTATCTACCAATAACAGAATAAAAGAAACCTGAAATTTATGACCATTTCCTTTAGTTAAACTTAGTATCTTCAATCATTTGTTAATAGAAATGCTTATTATTGTGACTAGAGAGAAGACACATAGCATTAAATGTACAATGTTGTAAGGAATCTCTGTAATTTTTTTTTATTAATATGTTACTTAACGTAGCTACATGTAACATAAAAAGTTGACCTAGAGTCGTCTGCTGTGTCAGATGCTTCTGCATAACATTTATTAGACTGGATACATGAAGTTTCCTTCACCGGGTCCACTTAAGTTGACTGCCATGTCTTCCAAACTGAACAGGTACCTCTTACTTCCCTTGGAAGAAATTATTACCATGTTATCAAAAGAGGTCACATTTACTACTGTGTCTGTGTCAGAAGTTGAATATTGTACTCGAGCACATTGCTTTTTAAGGATAGTGGGAAGTTTCCTAATATAATAACAATGTTTATTTATATAGCTATAGAATTTTCTGGGAAATATGATATAGATATATAAATATTATTTATATATCTATACAAATAGGAATAGTTTTCAGTAAATAGAAGGCCAACATTTATGTAAAATTTCAAATTTTCAGTACTTTAAAATTTACATAAAATCATTTCATTTTAATTAAAAAAATAAAAAATCTTTAACAGTTCTTCATCTCAGGTAAAATGTTATTCCAAACACAATATTACAGAGAAAAGAATAGAACTTTATCATTATTACATGCCATGCACTTATTTTGTCAAAATTCAAGATTCTGAGTATTATAAAATTCCTTTGTAAAATGTATTTGCTTATGAAGGAGGCATCTTGACACATCACTAGTGAATCCAGCGAGTAATTTCATAGCCCTGATGTGAAATATTGAAAGTTATATTGTCTCAAATGTGTGTTAAAGAATTTCTGTAATAAAAATTAAAATAACAATGTACAATATAAACAGATTTATGACTACGGTGTTTGAAAAATGTAAATAGTAAATAAATTAGTCAAATATGTAAATATAATACATGGGATAGGATAGAAATGTAAGTTTGAAATCTTATGTAAGTCTGTAATTCATTACAAGGAACTAGTCACCTTTTTTGGCTCAGTTTCATATAGAAAGACCCACGAATTTGTTTTTAACTTCAGAACTATAGAATGAAAGTATGCAAAGTTCAGTTGTAAGCTTCTGACAAATATTAACACTGAGACACTGGCTAAAACTGTAAAGGCGATGAAAGATGAGGAAATAAATGCATATTTATGAAGCGCTATATAGAGTGGAAAAGCTTTTTTTATTGTTTTCATCAAACACATTCCATACTACATCAGTGTGCTTTAGGTGTGCTTTTTTATTTTGTTTACAGTCTTCATACCTTATATCACAAGAGCAAATGCAGTGGGAAAAGCTCTGTTCTCAGTTACATTTCTGCCAACTCCCTGCCCTTCTATCTCGTAGCTTTGCAAGTTGGTAGGGCAGCAAATTACAAAGGTATGTCTGCATACACCATATACATACAGGGTACTGAGCATTTTCCATGAAAAGTGAATGAAGATAAATTTGACAAAACAGCAGAATTAAAGTGGGAGGGAGCGTATGAAATAAGGGGAAAGCAAACAAATGGGGAAGTCCAGAGTTTTGTAGGCTTGGGAGGTGAGGAGAGGAAACTTCAGCTCAGTGTGGGGAAAGAGGAAAGTTGGGTTGATAAGGTCTGGGGCCTGAAGAATGATTTAAGCAGATCAACAAGCAAGGAATAATGTTTTACATGTACGGAGAGGATCAAGTTCCTTGTGTCAAGGAAGCTGGAGGGAGAGTTCCAATAATTAAGATGGAGTTCGTGGAAGAATATAACAAGCTTCATTACAAGGAAGGCAAAGTTAATAACTTCTCTTAGTACTTCAAAAGCACAACTGTTAGACAATATGCACAACTTCCAGGGGAAAAAAAGAAACAAAGAAATGCCAAGGGCAATCTTTTTGTTGCATGCCTGAGTGACAATGAATTGTAGTCATGCTGGTTCTCACCCTGAACGAAATTTGTGTTTCTCTATCTGCAGATCCTGCAGAAAATCAACAAAGGAAGAGATTTCACATGACTTTTTCAAAAGCTGCAGAAATCACAGAGGATGGAATAAAGGTCCTCAGGGTTTCACAAGAGATGTGTTGGGAGACATAGCTGAAAGCTATTTGTTTCTTCATTTGCACGTAAAAAAGTATAGTTCTGGATATCTCTCATATCCTGGGCAAGCATCCCAGAGATTTAAATGTGAAGTGTAACAGAAAGGACTTTCCAGAAATCTGATCCACACTTCAGGTCATTATCTCCTTGAAAAAAAAAAGGTGGGAGGGAGGTAAGTGCTTTGTAAGATGCCTGGAACAATAATCCCTTTAAATTCTTTGGAGATGGGAAAAGTAGAAAGGAGGAAGTAAAGCTTGCAGACCAGCAGTTACTTACAGAGAATGTCCTGCCCTCAGCTTCTACGCGTGATATTGCGAAATATCTCCAGCTCAAGTGCTTCTAATCAGTGTACGACGGAGAGTGAAGTCCCTGAGCAGTTTGATTCCAGATTGTTAGCATCTTGTAAGTTAAAACTAAGATCTTGCATCCCAGCTGATTCCTTAAGCTGAGTATAGTTGACACAGCACTGGAGTAAATAATTAAATTGCTATGGCACCGTATCAAAGATCCCTCTAATGCTTCAAAAGCTTTTGTGTGTACCCTGCATTCCAGTCAAGAGACATGCAAGATAGGAGAGACCGACAGAGATACTATATGATAAGCCTCTCAAAGACAAGGGCTCTGAAACTTAGGTTTATTTGGCCAGAAGAATTCCCTGGAAGCTTCCAAATGAGAATTAATGTGTCCTGTCAGTAAAGCATGGTCATTTGAACTGGGTTTCCAGATCTATGCTTGTGTACAAGCTTCCTCAACACAGAATTTTAAAGTCTGAGTTTGCCACCAGTACATACGAAGATCCTTTAGAACTCAAGCTCCAGGCACAAGCTTATAAGATTGAACTGCAATACAGTCACTTTGTTCCTAATAAAGAATTAGCTAGAAACATCTAGAATTTCATCTCTCACACATTTCATTTCTGTGAGATCTAAATTATGGAGAGCATCAAATCTACTTATTCCAGATATTTCTCTTCCTGCCATCACTCATTCATGCCTATTCAGAGATCTTTTGCATGGGGATGAAGGTCCTTCTGAATTCAGCGCAAATGAGAAAAAAATGCACACATATACAGGAAGTATAGAATAATTTTATTGCCATTAATTTCTGATTTCCAGAAAAAAATGCAGACAATGCACCTCCTGGAGTATTTGGACAACTTAATCCTCAAATGCAGTCCACTGACTCTGACATGCTGCTTTTGAAATTCAAAACATTTATTTTCACATATTTCTATCTTCCTACAGAAGGAGTTGAGTTTTCCAGTGAGCAGTTCCTGCTACCAGTACAAAGGACTTCGATACGATCGATTCCCTTCACTATTTTAATAGCATCAAAAATACTCACAAAACATGTAGCTGTTATGAGAGCTCATGAGGTAACAAGGTGTCCAGGATTATAGCTGGTTAGATGGCTATCTATCTCACTCATAAAATGTCACTTTAACAACTAAGGCAACTCAACATACTCGGGAATTTTTCATCTTTCTACATCTAAAAATAAAGTTGGTAACTCCAGCTCAAAGCACTGCTTGTAGAAGCACTTGTAGGCTCAACTTAACAATAGGTTATGTATCTGGAGAAAAAATGTAGTCCTATACCTGCCTGATCATGTACAAATTTCTCCTAAAACATCAGTGAGGATTTGCTGCTACATTATAGAATAAACGATCTCATGCAAATATATAATTCTGCTTTGGCATGCAGGAATGAATGAAATTGACATACCAACAAAGAAAACATTTTGTTGATATCTGTTTCCCCAGATATTTTACCATTATTGCATTGGTGGAAAATTTTCCTCAAGTTTGAGAAAGGGGTACATTTCTTCGTCACCATTTGGCTGTCACCAAATACTGGGTGGCAGACATCTTCACATTCAGGGGAGACCACTGAGGCAGCCTTTATATTCTGAGTATGGAGGCAACTCAAGAAACTTTACATAAATGTGTCAAAGGCATAGGATAGTTGTTGGATGTGCACAGTAATCCTCTGTGATGTGAAAGTTTAATAATTCAAATCATGCTGTCTAATACTGCATCTGTTATCTCTGACAGAATAAGATCAAAGACCATCTTTCCCCATCAAGAATCTGCATGTTTGTGGAAACTTGTTTTCTTAATAGAAATACTCTAAAAGCAAAATATAGAATATGCTGTCAGATCGATTCATCTGACAGGTAATTGTAGCCAGCAAAGCACACCTAGATCGATAAAGTATTCCATAAGAAAAGAGGTAAGTGCCAAAAATTGACCCAACCGGGGGATGTACATGGAAAAGGTAAGAGTTAATGGTTAAGTAATCACACTTCATATTTCTGCAAGTTATCTTTGCAGTTGCACAGCTTGTCAGAAATGTAGACATTACATCTGAGCACGTCGTTCACATTTCTTTTATAGTCAATGGAGAAGAACAGGTACTTGCAGGTGCAGTTCCCTCCTCTATGTAGACTTCTGAACTGTGTCTGTGAGCTGCACCTTAAAAGTTTCTCTGTCCTCCACTTGCACTAACAGGAGTCTGGGGTGATGAGCTCATATTTAGATGTCGACATTGTCAATATCCAGGCGATGTGAATCTCTCCCAGATTTGAAAGAGACATCCTTAGACTGAACTTTCCATAAACAAATCATAGATCCGAAAGTGGGATAACATACCATCGTGAAGAAAAGCAAGACTTTAGATCATTAATAATCTTGCACAGATTTAAATTGTTCTGAAATTCTTCCTAAGGACAAAACAACCATTGGCCTAAAAATCTCCTCCAACATTGTCTATCTGCATGTAAACTAAAGAAAAATTGTTACTTTTAAGTCTGTGAAACTGACCCTTCATTTTACGGAGTATTACTCAAATTGCATTTTTGTATTTTGACGTCTAACAGCTGATAGCAATTTTAATTTGAAACAGCATTTCTGTACATACAATTGGAAAGAATCAGGCATTAATTCTGTCAAATGCCTTTCAGAAATTTACACCTGAAGTTCAGATTTTATACTTCATAAAGACCAAATAAGCTATGATCTGAAGGACACATATTGACTTGTTTGTTGCAGCTGCTGTACTGTAACATCAGCCTTACTTAGCTATGCTTTAGCTCCAGCTAGATAGCAGTTCAGCCCATTAGCTTGCTGTTTATATTTGCTATCATTCACGCTGTGAATAAACTATAGCCCTGTAGCACAGCCAGAGATAAAACTTAGTATCCTTGCATGCAAACTGAAGTGAGCGAAAAGAGAAATATTGACAAATTATTTTATTTAAAAATGGGATCTTTGCACTGGGATCTTCTTCCTAACGCTTGTTATGTGAATAAATACTATAGGCTGCTAAGTAAAATTTAAAGGGGACAAGTTACCATTCTGTATAACTAAAAGTAATAGTAATGGTAGTGTTTACTCTTCCTATTTAAGTAGTATCCAAACTACATAATCTGTTTTCAAGACAGAGAGGAAGATGAAGATCCTGCCTCACAGAATGGCCCATGCATGTCTAGATGTCCTGGAAGAAACTGCCAAATGCTGCAGGGAGCTAATGGGTAGGGTGGTGTAATCCACCAGGGAGTCAGGACTTGGAGAGGTCCAAAGGGGATTTTGCTCTTCTGCTCAGAGCTGCAGGTGACAAATTACTATGAAACTGTGTTCACTTCACATGTCTGCATATTACTCTGGAAGACAGAAACAGGTCAGCAACAAAATGATCTGATTATTTCTTAACTGAATGCATTCTTTAAAAAAAAAAAAAACCCATCCAAACAAACAAACAAACAGAGGAGCAGCCCACCAGTAACTTGTTAATGATCCACAGGAGAAAGAGCTTTAAGAATAACTCCATTGTTGGGAAACTAGACAGTTTGTTGCTGGCCTGGGCTCTGTCATAATTCACGTATAGGGCTGGGTTGGGTCCCCATAATTCTTTACTACTACCATTTTGGCATGGATTCAGAGATTTCTGGGGCCGAAAATACTGCCTCATAATCACCTTCCCAAAATGAAAAGAGACGTGCTTGCTCAGTCTTTATTTCAGTGCTGATTGTGTCAATGTGCCGGGGGATTATACTGGCACATAGTACAACTTACCACATGTCGGTGTAACAATTTCA